GTAAATCACACAAGAGGAAGCGGATCTAGAGGGAGGGGACTCTTACTGTTAGTGAAGGAGTGCGCTTAACTACCCTAAAGGAGTTTGAAGCCCGTAATGATGGGAAGAAGGCAAGCAAGAAGAGGCGTGTTGAACTAGGCACTTAGTCTTTACAACGCTGTAGCAGGTGTAGTAAGGCAGGGCACAACGCGCGAACGTGCATAAAAGATGCGCAAGATACTGTAGATTAGTGCTGTATACTGTAAGTTACAGTAACTTGCAGTAACTTGCTGTAATATGCAAGACAAGTTGAAGTTTGGTGTGGTCTTGGCAAAATCCGGACACTCGCCCGGGCCGGCCACTCGCCCGTGAGGTACGTTAACAGGATAATATTATTTATAAGCATTGCTATTATCTACATCCTCTATTTCTACCTTGCAGGTGCAGGAGTTATGCCTAATCTCGCTGTAACAGCCGCAGCGCCTCTCTGCGCGCACCCTCTTCGCAGGCATCTTGCTGTCCTTACAACTACCACCCTCCTTTTTAGTAATTAAGTTAGATACCTTACTAACTATTAGGGTCTCCTCTGCACATACATACTACCTCTTACAGGTCTTGCACTTTATAAGCGTGTTAACAGCGTCTTAAAGGCAGCCTATTTCCTCCTGCACTAACACTATATTATAAGCTATCTGCTAAGCGCCTTTACTTAGCTGCTTAACCTGCTCATCTAATAAACTTGCTAGAGACCCCTAATAGTTTTGTATGCGATTTTGAATTAGCGTGGGTTGCGCCTCTATCTCGCGGGCGTTGCGCGGTGTTTGCGCCTCCTAGGCGACAGTGCCTGGTGCAGGTGGCGTTGGCGTGCGCAGCTATACATCAAGCTTCAATAACACAACCTTAGGGTCATGCAGGACTAGTCTAGCGCCTTAAAACCCTGCGCGAATATTCTCTAATATAAACATCTTCTTAAAAGCTGCTTTAAAGGCTAGGAGGAAGGTTTCTTTATTAATATAGTGGATGCAGCTGCGTGCCAAGAGCGAGATCCTGTCGCCGTAGTGGCGCTTTAACAGCGAGTAGGGGACAACGTCAAGAGGCTGCAGGATGTGTGATGAGTGTGGTGGCATGCAGAGAGTGATAATCTTGTTCTCCTTGCAGTAGTCCTGGAATTCTATCGAGCAGTGGCTCTCATGACTGTTAATAATGAGCAGCCTATACGCCCCAGCAGAGGACGCCTTCGTATGGACGTCGAAATGCTTGAGCCACGCTAGCGCGACGTTGTTATTAGTCTAGCTAGTAGGAGAGACTGTAATAACCTAGTTGCAAGGTAGACTAGTAAACTAGGAGGAGATAAGGACCTTGCCTGCAAAGATAAGGGTAGGATTATATGCCCTGTTGCAGCAACACCTTATACTAGGGTAACCTACTTACAATTACTAGGTTATAGTTTCTTCTATTTCCTAGGTTTCTCTAAGCCTATAACAACAAGCTAAGAGGATATCTTGCCTATTATAAAGCTAGACTTATTAAAGTTCTAGGTGTCCTTATCTATAATACTATACTTTGCCTTTGTTAATTAAACTAGGCTGAACTATAGCTAGATAATCGCTGGGTCCTCGCAGGCAGCTCGCTAGCAATCATACGGACGGCTCCATCGCGTTCGCAGCTCTGGTGTACGCTTAATGAAGTTATCAACCTAGTTCTTGCCTGTAGGCTTCCCACCACGCTCTCTTAGCAGTCTATTAGCCATATCTCGTACGTGCACCTTTAAGGGTAGTATTCCACGTAAACTCTCTTCAAGTATACGCTGTATAATTGCCTCCTCTTCTAGCTTTGTAAGGCGTTTTAATTTTAGCTTGCAATTGCGTTAAGAGTGTGTTCTATCACGTTGTTATTATATTGTAGTTTAAGGGACCTTATAGACTTTCTTAGCAAGCTGTATACTCTTAATCTGCTCTTTTTAAAGATCTAAGATAGCAAGCTGTACGTCAGCTTCAGTATAGAGTCTCTGGGTTTGGTGTTGTTGAGGCATTACGTGTTGTCGCTGCGCAAGCGTTTTGGTGGGGAGAGTGCGCCGCTCGCTTGGGTGCGCCGCTCGCTTGTGAAGCACGTTATTGCTAGGGGTTTGCGACTACATCAGGAAAAGTTTTTCTGTTGTCGAAATCAGGAAATTGTGGCATTATACTGTGGGCAACAGTAGGACTTGTAGGCCTATAATAGGTATTTAATGTATATTTAATGTCTAGCTAATTTCAAGCTAATAGCTCTAATAGTCCTAATAGCTGCAATAGCCACAATAACTCCTAATCCTGCTACAATAGTAGCTCTGCTTAATAAACTATACTTTTATTATATTAGGGTTACTACTAAGTCTCCTCTTTAAAATAAGCTATTAAACAACATTATAGGCCTATTAATAGAATAGTTATTAAGTGTAGAAGGTTTTAAGCTTAATATTCCTTACTAAGACACTAAGTTAAGATTCTTTGCTAGGGCTCTAGTAGCCTAAATATTAGAAAATACAAGAATATTATTTAAGAATAGTAGGTAAACTAAGAATTCTACACCTAAGCCTGCCTGTTCTGCAGTGTGTGCTTGTTAGCAGGTGCTTTGTTATGTGCTGTTGCAGCTGCTACGTCGTGTGCTGTTGCAGCTGCAGCTGATACATTGTGTGCTGGCGCAGCTGCAGTTGCCATGGTGTGCTGTCGCAACTTCAAAACACAAACCTTTAACAAACAAACCTTTAACACTCTATAACTTGCGTTATAGTAGGCCTACAATAATAATTTTTCGCTTATTTTAAAGCTACAATTTCGCTCTATCTGTGTATGAAATTTCGCAATTTTTAAATATTTAATACTAACGTAGATTATCACCAAGCCGGCCATATCACTGAACCAGCCATTTTCTCTTAGCACAACTAACACAAGTTACTACAACTACAACTACTTACTATTAAATAGTGACCTAGCATACTGCATGCTTTATTAGATTTAGAAGATGTTTCTATACCCTCCTAGCACGTTTGTGTGTTGTGTCTAGTCTTGCTATAGTTCCTACAGCGCTGAATAGTTAACTAAGCTCCTAGTTGACCACCTCTACCCTAAGTCTTCTTAGATGGCTAAGCTGCTACACACGCCTTAGCAGCTACCCGCGATACTGCTAGGCCATACTCAAGTGTGCTACTATGCTAAATCTGCTTTCTCTTACGCAATTTTCTCTTAGTTATTACTGCTAATTACTCTTTAAGCTCTTATACACAGGCCTTAATAAGGACATTTTTATATAGCATCTCTTTAGCCCCTTTTATAAGCTTTAAGAACCCCTCTTACGCTATACTTAGTAATTGTTAGAAGGAGTTACTTATAAGCTTAGATTAAGACCTAAACTTGTGTGTATTGCTTAGCGTCTTAGATTGCTATAGTGTTTTAGGTAGAGGTACTGCTAGTAGGGTATGCAGCTGCACTTTAAGGTAATCTAACACTACCTGTATATTAGTAGGAATAAGCCCTAATACCTTAAAGGCCTTTTAGTAGTTAACCTTTATAAATATATTAAGGAATATATCCCTAAAGGCTAGTAGGAAGCCTTTCTTATTAATATAGAAGATGTGTTAGTGTGCTAAGTCTTAAATATATTAGGAGTACTTGCGCTTTAATAGCAAGAAATAGACTATATTAAGTAGCTAGAGGATATGTAATAAGTAAGGTAGTATATAGAGAGTAAGGATTTAGTTCTCTAGGCAATAGTCCTTAAACTCCTAGTTAAGATAGCTCTTATAGCTGTCTAAGATAAGTAACCTATTGTCAGATAAGAGCGAGCGGCGAGAGGTCGGATCTGCGCAATCGAGCAGGGACCTGTCGTGCAGCCAATCAGCAGTTGCCAGGTCGATTAAGCGAGACCTGGCAACTCCTGATTGGCCCGCACACCGGCGGCCGCGAACAGCGCTAATTCCCCCCCCACTTCAATCCTGTAGCAACCAGCACGACGCCACGGCAGAAAAACACCATCGCCACGATCATCAATATATCATTATACCACCTAAGATCTCGTTAAGCACATACTCTGGCTCACAGTACGAGCATCTGACACCTATACACTCCTACCTAACGTGTCTTTATATGCGTGTTAAAGTGCTTTAACTACTTAAGGCTAAGTATGTTGTTTGTCTAACTATTCTTAGAGACTAAGAGCTTCTAATTATAGGGTATATCTGTCTTGTTATACTAGGCAGAGATGTGGACACGTCCTTTGTAGATAATGAAAGGCAGGGTTGCATACCTAGCGGCGCAGATGCTCTGGATAACGGTAACCCACTCGCGATTACCTGGCTGAACAAGCTCTGGCTGAGCACGTCTCTCTAAGCCTGTTACAACCTTTAAATACAAAGCAACGCCTATCTAGAACCTAGTTTTATTAAAGTTATACATGTTATTATTACAAACTAGGCTGGCGGATGGGTAGGGTAGGGTAGGGTATAGGTATAGTCACGTGA